AAGCCGCGGCGCCGCCAGCCTGCGGGGAGAGCCGCGACCGGTGGGCCGGAGCCCCCGGTCAGGAGCCCCCCCTGGGACGAATCCCATAGGCGTCAGGGAGGACCACCCGTCGCAGCCGACCCACCGTAGCAGAGTCTGCATGCGCTCGTCGGTCACCCAGGGGAGACTACAAGAATCTACAGTCATCCAGCCTGTCGCCCTGGGGACACTTGCTAGAAGAAAAATCAAGTCAAACGGAAGAAAGGAAAAAAATTCTCCAGAGAAAATTTTTTAGCTCCTTACCGCTTGACGCTAGGCAAAAAACTGGAGACTTGTCAGCAGGTGGGGGGTTTGGCCACCGGCAGGGGCCGCCCCTAGGCTGTAATTGGTCTTTAGTTTTGTGCCTAGCGTCCTTCTCCTGCAGGTGGCGATATTATCCTACCATTCAGGATCTACGATCTGTTGCCAGTGTCCTTCAATGAACGGGAGAGAAATATAGATTATTTCAGAATAAATCTGCATGCACATTTTTTTGTAGTATTTGCACTGCACAGGAATGCAGTACCACATGTTCCAATACGGGCGATCACACTGAGGGTGGGAAGCACGTTTGGGGTGCCACTGAAATGAATGGCACCACAACCCACATCCTGCTGCAGAATTTGTCAGGCTGAAAGGAAAAATTACTTTTTCCAACTTTTTTTTTTTTGAATAGTTGTATGTATTATATTACATTTTAATTAGTTTCATGGATTTAAAATAATAGTTTAGAGTTAGCCATAAATATTGACCCAACTACTGTGGCACCTGCGGCAATACCTGACATGTGTATCGCAATCGTCGTTTTCGCATGTAAGCGCACCTGACGTGTTTTTATTAGTATGCACGCATTCGCAGGGGACTTTTTTGGGCATTTTTTATTTTATTTAACTTTATTTTTTTTAAACTTTTTTTATAACTTCATTGCTATCACATGGGGGGCTCACAAGCCCCCTATGTGACAGCACATTTGAGGTGACCGGTTCTCTTCAAGGTGACAGAGGTCTTTTAGACCCCTAGTGTCACCTTTCCACTTCACTGGGGAATGACAGTTGCTTGCTGAGGCAGCAGAATGTAAACACAGCATGCAGTGGCTGGGAGCAATAGCCAGCCTATTACACCCGCCCATTGACTGTTGTCAATCAGCAGAGGAGGGACCAAAGGAGAAAGTTCTGCTTCAGGTTTTCCTCTGCTGATTGACAGCAGGCAGTGGGCGGGTGTAATAGCCAGCCTGCTATTGCATTTCAAAATAGCCAATAGCAGGCTGGTTACTTCTCCCAGCTGCTTGATGGAAGATTTGATGCCGGCTTTTTACCGCCGACAGAAGAGGGGGCACGGGGGGAGCATTGGGATCTACGGTGGGGGCACGGGAAGCAGCGGATCCATGGCAGGTTCATGGGCAACAGCTGAGCCACAGAGGAGCATGGGAAGCAGCAGATCCACGGCGGAGGCATGGGAAGCAGCAGATCCACGGCGGAGGCATGGGAAGCATCAGATCCTTTGTGGATTCACAGGCACAGATGAGCAGGTGCAGTGCTCAGTGTCCTCCACGGGATGGAGGAGAACATCGGTACAGAGCAGCGGCAGCAACTAATAGAAAATCAACATGTTTTTCCAGACTTTGGACAGCTGTGTACTAAGTGATGATAAAGACCCTGACCTGAAAAAAGCTTGATTCCCTTTTCAAACAAACGAATATTGGTATAAAGATTGGAAACTTCTTCTTGAAAGTCTTTCATAGTTTGCTTTCTGCTTGCCCCCGATGCTTGTGAAGTTGAGGACATGAATACTGAACGTACCACCTCCTGATAACTTTTGGTTAGGGGTCTACAAAAAAAAAAAATCAAGCAAACTTTATTTGTCAAAGATATTGAATGCTACACAGCTCACATATTGATTATATTGGATTAACAGTAACAAAAAAAAGAAAAGGCCTCAACTTTCAGTTATCTGAGGTATTCAAAGCGCAGGCTATTTAATCATGTTTAGTCAAATATCACCCAGTTCAAACTGCTGAATGCCAAATATTTTTATGATGTATGGCTCAATAATACGGCAGCATGGGTATTTCTGAAAATATTTATTTGTTCTACAAGCTGTAACGATTGGCCCCGTGTAAACATACTTGCAGGGAGGAAAGAAAAGGTGTCCCTCTAGAGATACCTCCATTATGAGACCGATAGCTAGCAAACAATCATGCGCTGGCTATCATTCTCATAATGGAGGTATCTCTATAGAGAGAAGTTCTCTGCTTCTCCTTTCCTCATCATTTAGGATTTGTTTAAGGTCCAGTCCTGAGTACCTTACCAAAACATTTAAAATAATAAAAAGACAGTAGGCAAATCCCAACAAAGGTAAATAACATGGTGGAAACCGATGGTGACCTCAAATGCTTCCCCCGGGTCCTTTAAAATGTATTCCCACTTTTACAACCAATTTGGGAGAACACCTAATTTGTATGTTACATGTTCCCATTTGCAGAGCATAAATTAAAAAGAAATATATTTAAAAATTACAACTTACCTTTTTTCTGGAAACATCAGGACTGGCTGAAGGAGCTGGGGGAAGGGGAGTTTGTTTCAAATATTTAACCCTGTATGTACTGTGCTGGCAGATTTCTTTATCACGCGTAATCTAGATAAGCAGGACTGTCTGTTCTAAAAAAGGGTTATAGAACTCAAGGCATTGTATGGTAATGCACCTTTAAAAAAACTGTCCCTGCATCTGTCCCCTTATCTGCCCACTACCACTAGAAGCTGGCCGCAGCGTCCTATAAATAAAACAGGTAGAAAGGTAAGAAATATTTACATTTTTGGGGGTATGCTGTGTGAATAGGAACATATAACATAGTGGGGGTTTCCCAAATTTCACTGTAAAATTGGAAATACACTTTAGAATATACCAGTAGTGACAACCATGGTAATTTTCTTCCAAATGACCGGGCATCCCCAGCAATAGGCCACTTCATTTTACAACTATTGCCATCTACCACTCCTCAATATCTGTCAGCAAGGCCCGCACTCATATATAGGGGGCAGTGTTAAAGTTCAGGAAGTGGGAGGGGATGGGCCAAACCTAGTGAAAGAAAAATAAATATTCATTCAGGCACCTATAAAGTTTAGCTGCTGTTTTATTATTTTGGATGTTAAAGGATTTGGGATGTTACAAGATAGGGGCTCGTTTGATTTGAAGTTTGAATACTTCAGCTCTAATGCTTGTATATGCCTTATGGACCAGATCAATGTTTAGATTTCTGCTATGGGCCTGTTTATTCAGTCATAACTTTGTCATTAACTAAAATA